CAAATATTCCTCTTTCCTACAGAAGCATTACAGTGCCTGTGTCTTCCTTTTGAACACTTCATTTCTTATAATTTCCTCATTAAGTTTTGCCAATTTCTTTGTTCATCAGTGCTTCTTACATCTCATTTCTTTTTTATGGTCATTTTCCTCTGGTGGTGTAGTCCAAAGGAATTCGTGCTGCTCACCCTGTAATCACCCTCTCTGGCAGCTAAAGCCCCCTAGTGGCTTTGCAAGAGAAAGACAGGCTAGCTCTTCCCGTGAGATTTACACTGTTGGAAACCTCTGACTTGACAGCAATGAGTTTATATATTCTATATTAATTCTTTATAGAGGCTGTATGATAAATATTGAGGTCATAAATTACTAAGCTGTTTCTACTTTGTTCTCTTATCATTTTTCCTAAACTTAACTTTTACTCAAAACTTGCTACCATCAAATTATTTCTAACCACATTCAGGATTCAGATGTCACATTTGCATTAGCAGCATGACTCACTATAGACTACACCTCCAGAGCTCCCTAATTTTACCTATATAAAACATACCTTCAAATCTAGTCATGTTAATTCATCCTCCCTTAGAACTCCACAGTGAGTCTAACTGGCCAAACATAATTCCAATTCCCTTGCCAATGATTATCTTCAGGAATGGGAAAATGACACAATTCTGGGCAATGAGACATAAGTGGAAGTCTGCTGGCACTGTTTCTGAAAAGTTTCCTCTTTTAAAAAAAGAGAAACAGTTCCATGTCTCTGTACACTCATGTCTGGATGTGAATGCTGAAAACTACTGTTGTTGTTGTTATGTGCCGTCGAGTCGCTTGCGACTCATAGCGACCCTATGTACAACAGCCCTAAACTCCGCTGTCCTGTGCCAATCGCACTGTCTCCGACAATCCCATCCCAATTATCCCAGTCACTGAATCAATCCACCTCATAGAGGGCCTTCCCCTCCTGCACTGTCCCTCCACCCTCCCAAGCATGATGTCCCTCTCTAAGGACCGGTCTCTCCTCACATGTCCAAAGTATGTTAGACGGAGCCTCAGAATCCTTGCCTCCAAGGAGCCACCCGGTTTAACCCTTTCCAGGACAAATCTGTTTGTTTTCCTAGCAGTCCGTGGTATTCTCAATACTCTTCTCCAGTACCACAGCTCAAAGGCATCAATTCTCCTTCTATCCTCCTTAGTCACTGTCCAACTCTCTGATACATAACAGGTGATTGCAAAGACCATGGCCTGTATCAGACACACCTTAGTCTCCAAATAAATATCACTAGCAGCCTAAGAATGAAGCCAACACCAGGAATGATCAGAGCAGAACTAATCTGGGTAAGTGATTACATTTTTTGAGACCCTGAATCAATCAAATTTGAAGCCTGATATATCTTTGAATTTCTTGTTATGTGAGAGATATTGTTTGATTATTGTCACTGATGTATGTTTGATTATTAACTTATTATTGCATCCAAGATCATCCTAATAAAAATTATTGTTGATCCTCATGAATAAAGCCTAGACTCAGACTACTGTCATGGAGTAGTTCTCAAAATAAGGTAACTTCAAAAAGATAGTTTTCTTTACCCCAAAAAAATTTTTGTATTGGCAAGCCTATCTTTTGTGCTCCACCCTAACTTTATTTTTAGAATACAGTTGGTGCTCCAATTTTTTTAGACAAAGTCAAGTCACTGCCTTAGAATCAGAACCAATTCTAATTCTCCAGTGTGTGTCTCATGCTGTAAAATGTAGGGGAGGAGTCTGCCCTTTTTTCTCCCATGGTGCCAGCTAGTAGATATGAACCACCAGAGAGGTGTGGCCTGTGGCACAGAAGCACAACTCCGCAAGACTAGCTCCTTGTTGGATCATATACTATTCATAAAATTTAAAAATGGAATTAAGTACGTAAAACGAAAATGATGACTCTCAAATAAGAACATATTTAAAATAAACAAGCAAAACCTACAAGCCATATCACATACATTTTTTCCCTTTCAATACTCATTCTTATTTTTCTTATCTAGTAACTCCAAATGTTAGAATGTTACTTTTAAATTCATATAAATCTCAGTAGGAAATATAAAGGAACAGAAATTTAGCATACATCCATAGTAAACGTATTAAAACATACATTAATAATATACAATATTAGTAAGCAGGCTGAATTATTACACCAGATGGATTTTTATGATAGTTTCTACCACTTTCCAATACTTTTCAGTACAAATACAAATATAAAGAAATTTCTTTCACTTCAAAAGAAAAAAAAAAATAGCAGCATTTACTGCCAAGGATAAAAATCTAAACTTTATGCAAAATAGAAATTCTGGAAAACTTTATCTGTAGTCATGAATCTGATAGCTTCTCAAAAAGTTTCTGGTAAGAATGGTAGTGATAATAATCATGATTTCTATAGTAGTACATTCTGAAATATATCAACATTTGTAAGCTCATAAACCAGTCTTTTCCAAATCATCAATATACATGATTTTATACATCATGCATATATTAAAAATTCAAGACATATCATTGAAATAACTACTATTTGTGGTATTTTGGTGTCGTTTATCAAAGAATATTTGTCATTATCTGAAAGGCTATTAAAAATATTCCTTTTCCCAACTTCATATCCTATATCATGCCAGAACTTCTTCACACACTTTAACAAAAATATATTGCAGTAGACTGAATACATAAGTTGATGTGAGAATCCAACTATCTTTTATTATTTTAAATGTATTAATAAATCACTAAGTTTTGGGAAAAAAGTTATAAAACATTTAAATAACTACATTGTCAGTCATTCCTGAATTAAAAACAGGGCCAAGGCATCAGTGTTTGTTTTAATTTTCCAGGGGATTCCAACATAATACTAGGATAAGAATCAGTGATGTATGGTAGGCACTGATAAGGAATATGGGTTTTAATTTAAATGTAAGAGTACATAACTGAAGAGTTAAGATGAAAACAAGGACTGACACATTTCCTAAGAGAACATTCTAGTTGTTGTCGAAAGAGAAAAAACTTCAATCCTGAAACATTAAGAGACTGAATAAATATTTGTCAGGAGATAGACTTGGAGTAAAAGCTCAGCCATTAGATGGTGACAGTCAATGCCAAAAATCAGATTTCCAGATGTTTGAAAATCACTGCTCCACTCTGGTAGTCTAGTGGTTAAGTGTTGCACTCCCAATACAAAGGCAGGTAGTTCAAATCCATCAACTGCCTCCCATATGATTTAATCTTTGAAAATCCATTGAGAGGGTCAGCTATGAATCAGTCTCAACTTAAAGGCATGTAACATCAAACCACCAGTAGGTACAATCAGACCAAAAAGAAAATTTACACAAGGAACAAACTGCTCCAGATATACCTCTTCAATCTTTCTGTGTCAGATATCTGATTATTTTTCATTCAAAAATAAAATTAAATTTCCATTATGTGTAAATTATTCTTTTGATTAAGATTTCAAAGATTGTCACTTATGATTTAAAAATTTTATCTTCAATTGATCCAAGGACTAGCCTTAAAGCCTCTATTTTTACATTTCTTATTAACTAGTCCAAACATAAATTGTAGAATTGCTTTTATTTCACTTGGAATATTACTGTTATTTTCAATCTACATATGAATAATGAATAATAAATTGACAAAAAAATGCAGAAATATTACTTGAATTAAAATGTATCATGTTGTTATCATATTAAGTGTTATCATGGATAGAATTCTGTCCTCCTGGCCATTATTTAATCATGTAATTATTCTCCATGACATGATCAGCCTGATCTGATGTACAGGGATTAAGGTGGGATGAAGTACGCATCCCTGATTCAATATAAGAAGTTTCCCTGTTCAGGGGCCAGCATCACTTTTCATCACAAAAGGACTAAAAGGAAAGAGAAGTTAAGGTCTACTCCCATCGATAAATGAGGCTGGGAGCAGAGTGTGTCCTCTGGATCCAAGTTCCTGTGCTGGAAAATTCCTAGAACCAAAAGATAGAGACACAGAGCCTTCCCCTAGAGTTGGCACTTGAATTCAGACTTCCAGCCTCCAAAATTGAGAGAATTTCTATTAAAGCCATCCACTGTAGTATTTCTGTTACAGCAGCACTAGACAAGGAAAACAGGTGTCACTGAATCCACTGACCCTCTATCTAAAAAGTAACTCAAACTTAAATTATGCTATTTTATCAGTTTGGTAATTAGTTTCTATTTCATCAATTTGGTATTAGTTTCAAGTAACTGCTCTTTAGAAAAAGCCCCAGAAGCTTTATGGTTAAGAGCCTGGCTGCTAACCCACCAAGCACTCTGTGAGGAAAGATGGGGCCGTTTGCATCTTTAAAGATCACAAAAAAGAAACCATACAACTAGTTGTATACTGTCCTGTGAAAATAGCATGTTAGGTCACCTTTGTGCAGCATCTTTCTTAAAGAAGAAAAGTGAAAAGTAAAGAAAAAAGTATTAAAAGTAAGGAGAAAAGTAACCTCACTTCTTTAATTTCTATTATCCCATCTGGCCTCTGTCAGCATTTGAGTTTCTAAGCACTAGAACACCAGGCAGGAAGTAGTTTTCTGTCCTAGTTTACCAGCTTTGCAATTCTGCTGTTGTTGTTATAGGCCACGGAGTCAGAACCAACCTCTAGCTGAACCTCCAGCGGTTTCCAGAAGCTGTAAATCTTATGAGAATGCTCATCGCTCTCCTGAGGACCAGCTGGTGGATTCAAACCACATGACTTGAAGTTGAAAGGGCAACTCCTTACCAGTAGGGCACCAGAGATCCCTAGCTTTGCCATATGTCACCTGAAATTACGATGATATTGTAGATATTTTTTATGGTAAAATCTAAAATGTGGTAATGTTACTACATCAATTTACTCAAACACTAAATCCTATCTACTAGAAAAATCAATACAAATTAAGATTTAAGCTTATACATACTTAACATATAAGCTCAATATATAATTAAGATTAATATTTATATTCAAGATATAATTTTGTAAAAGAAAGTTACCTTTCAAAAGATGGTTTAGGTCCATTGTGTCATGTAAGACCTTTTGGTTATGTCTTTGGTCTAAATTGGAACCTAATGATGAAGATTTCGAAGGTGAGCTAAGACTACTGGGTCCACATTTTTCTTTCCCTTTTCTGGCTGATTTCAACTGCTTTGAATTACATTTCAAATCCTCTCCATTTTCATATATTTCTTGACTCACATTTTCTTGTCTTTTTACTTTTACTTTTTGATCATTTGATGCAGGCAGCTCAAAAGACTGAACAGGGCTGATGTCTGGGGTTGACAGAGGAGTTACATCAGTCACAGTATCTTCAGACTCTTCAGTGGAGTCGCCAATTTTTGGTCTCATTCTTAAAGGTTGTACTCCTGTTGCATTTTCTCCTGAAACATATTTCTGCTTTGGCGATAAGAGGGTTACATCAGAAACTTGTTTCTTTAATGACGGAGATGAATCAGATCTATAAATATCAGATCTTGCATCTGAACAATCTGTATCTGAACTTGAGGATGAGGAAGACAAAGAGGAAGAGGAAGAAGAGGAACTAATTTTGGAATATTTTTTATTTACACCTTTTTTAAAATTATTCAACGGTTTAGCTGACTTGGACCTGATATGACGTCTTTTCCCATCATCACTGCTTTCCTCACCATCTGTATAGTAATCATCTTCACCTTCTTTTACAATTCTGGGAATTCTATCTGGAAGAGGAATGTGTATCTTATGTCCTACTGAAGAATCACACTGTTTTTGTAATCTTGAAGAAGCAGTCAAAGATGAAGAACTTCTACTTTGTATTTTATCATTTTCTATACAGTGCTCTTCTGGAGGAATTTTTAATTTTTTTTCATTTATCTTTTCAGTAAGATTATTTTCCTTGGTTGGTATTCCAAATTTCAAGTTTACATCTTCTGTTTCTCTATCTATTCTCTCTTTAGGGTCATCAATTTGCTTGTTAAACACAGAGTTATTTTCATATTTCTTTCCTTCTTCAAAGTCACTATCAAAGAAAGAGTGATCAACTTCACCTTCTGATGTATCTCCAAATCGGTCCATGATGGCAACAATAGTTCTGAAAAGGAACAAAGTGAAACCATGAGAAAAATTTCTAAATATGTTTTCTTTTTATTTATGAAATAATAGTCCCAAATCAGAAAGTCTAGCTAATATCCATCCACTCTCTACAGGAACAACAACAAAAAAAACACCCCAAAATTTTTAAAAAAGTTCAGTTAAGTGATGATAAGGCTACAAGGGCAGTGAGAAGCTGTATTATCAATTTTAAAAAATAAGTAAGTCTAATAGTTCATTTCACAGGAAAACATCAAGAGATTATCACAGCAGATATATCATAAACAAAGATGGTTAGGAGAATAAGTCTTCTATAAGGTCAAGACAATTAGAGTTTAGAAAAAGAAAGGATGGTATTTCCAAAAAGTCCACAGAAAAATACCTAGACATAATAAAGGAGTTTATCAAAATTACAAGGTACAAGGTCAACAATAACAACAAGAATAGATGAGTTTTTATACACTATCGATGCAGTATCTGAAAGAAAAATGAGGAAAACAATTTACAATAGCATTTAAGAAGATAAAATTTCTAGGAAGAAATCTAACAAGGTAAGAGAAGGACTTAATACATTGAAAATTATAAACGCGGCATATGTTTATACGCTAAAAGAGATTAATATTGTTAAAATGTCACTATTATCTAAAACAATGCCTATAGTCTCAGCATAATTCCAATTAAAACTCCATAGCTTTTTTCAAAGAAATAGAAATACCAATTCTCAATCCTGAATGAAAAGGATAAAAGGCCCCAAACAACAAACAATGCTGCAAGAAAAGAACAAAATGAGAGGACTCATATTATTGATTCTAAAACATGACATACAGCAATAATAATAAAAAAAAGCCTAGTGCTGGTATAACAATATAAACACAAGAGTAACGGAATAGAATTTAAAGGTTGGTTAAACTTCTCACATACTCTGGGCATGCTATCAGGAGAGACCCGTCTTTGGAAAAGGATATCATGCTGTAAAAGGTAGAGAGGGACAGAGAAAGAGAAGAAAGCTCTCAGCAAAATGGACTGACAGAATGACTGTAACAACGGGCCTGAGGCTATCAGAAATGGTGAAAATGAAGCAGAATAAGACAAGGCTCAGATCTGTTGTTCAAAGGGTCACTATGTCACTCGATGTCATCTATACACATTAAATCAGAAACTGAAAAAGACTTATACATCAGAGTTCATTACGGCACTATTTACAATGGCCAAAAGGTAGAAATAACCAAAATACCTATCACCAAATTAATAAACAAAATGGCCCAAATGGAATACCATTCAGCCAGCAGGAGAATTAAAGTCATGGATGGAGCTTGAAGATATTATGGGGAGTAAAATAATCAGTAATGAAGACTGAGTGACTTCACACAGATGGAAGTCATAAGTCTTCCTTGTATGCAGATGGATAATAATCTATCACGGGCCAACAGCACTGTATTTCAGAAATAAACTTGAAATGCTCTTTCTGACAATGAATAGAGAACTATTCCTCCTCAACTTATCATTCCCATTATAGATCATATGATTATCTGATTGAAAATGAACAATGTTAATACATTTGAACCTGCTGATGCCTAGAATGTCAATCTTTACACATTACACTTCACTTTTTTACAACATCCAGCTTTTTGTAGAAATGTCTCAATTCTTCCTGGATGTTGGCTGCTGTTCCCTCTCATTTTGAGTCATTAGCAAATAAAGGTCTTTTATTGGATGTAAGTTTTGCTCTATCTGTACCATTAAAATAGACTCCACTTTGAGAGGACAGCTCTTCCCTGGCCACAATTTGAGCGTCTTCCAACCTCAGCGGTTCATCATCTGACACTGTATGGGATAACGTTCTGCTGCTACTCAAAGATTTTGAGAGCCTGTAATTTCAGCAGGAAATGGCCAATTCTGCTACTTAAGTCTGTCTCAGCATGGAAGCTCTGCTAAAAGGTGTCAACCATGGGTGATCCCACTGGTATCTATGACATAGCTTTTAGCATCACAGCAATAGACAGCAAACCATCACAATAAGGCAAACTGGCAGATAAGCGGTGACAGGTTTCTTATATAAAACTTCTCATGGGGTTTGGTTCCCTAGTGTAGGGGTTTTGGGTCATTTCATGGGAAATAAGTTAACTGGACTACCAATGTGTTTAGTGCTTCTTTGTTCTATTTCCTATCTCATCATATAGTTCCTGGAGGCTCAAAAATTTGCAAAGCAGTTATCCAAAACAATTAGTCTCTACTTGGAACAGCGGAGGAAAAACAAGAGGATTCCAGAAAAGGATAAAGAATCCATGAACTATTTACTTTGCCCTAGGAGTAGAAACCCAGATGAGATGGATTGATACAGTAACTGGGGCAACAGAGGTTGTTGTCAGAAGCAGTAAGACTAGCTCAGGACAGGGCAGACTTCAGAGCTGCTGTACATAGGGTCACCATGGGTCACAGGAGACTCCATGGCACATAACATCAACAGCAAAGGGAGTAGAAGAACTTCAGAGTACCTAATTACCATTATTTCACACTCTGATGCAAGACTGCACAGCAGAATCATGAGTGTTATTGTTAGTTGCCAGTACTAGACTCACAGTGACTCTATGAACTGATCTGAACCTTGCCCTATCCTGTGCCATCCTCTTCATGTCTGATATACTTGAGCCCATTGCTGAAGTCACTGTATCAATTCATCTCACTGATGGTCTTCCCTTCTATCATTGACCTTACACCTTTCCACGCATGCTGTCTTTTTCCAAGGACTGAATCCCCTAAAAACATGCCCAAAATATGTGAGATGAAGCTTTGCTATCCTTGCCTCCAAGGAGCACCCTGGCTGTGCTTTCTCCAAGACAGACTTGTGTTCTTTTGGTAGTCAATGAGATTTTCTGTACTCTTCACTAACAACTCAAAGGCATCGATTCTTCTGTCATCCTTAGTCACTGTCCAACTTTCAGATGCATACTAAGCCAACTGAGAAGACCACAGCATGGATAAGATGCACCTTAGACTTTAAAGTGACATTGGGTGCTCTTTAGTACTCTGGAGAGGTCCCTGATAGCAGATTTTTTCCCAACACCAATTCATCTTCTGATTTCTTGACTGCTGCCACCAAGGGTGTTGATTGTGGATCCAAGCAAGATGAAATGATTGACAACTTCAATCTTCTATCTATCATGATGTTGCCTACCAGCTCAATGATGAAGATTTGTCTTCCTGATGTTAAGATGTCATTCAAATTCAAGGATATAGTCTTTGATCTTCTGCAGCAAGCATTTCAAGTCCTTGTTTTCATCAAGCAAGGTTGTGTCATCTGTAGAAGTTATTGATAAATCTTCCTTCAATTTAGTTTCTTCTTCATAAAGCCCACCCTCTTGAATGCTATGCTTGGTATACATATTGAGCAGTAAGGACAAAGGATACAAACCTGATAGATACCTTTTCTGATTTTAAACCATGCAAGCAAGTATTCTCTTGCTCTTTTCAGACAACAGCTTCCTGGTCTAAGTGTAGGTTTTGCAGAAGCACAATAAAGTGTTTTGGAATACCCATTCTTCTCAATGTTCTACATAATTTGTTATGATCACACAGCAAAAATGCCTCCACAGAGTCAACATAACACAAATGAGCACCCTTCTGCTATTCTCTGCTTTTAGCCAAAATCCATCTGACATCAATAGTAATATCCCTGGAGCCTCTTCTATATCCAAGCTGAATTTCTGGCACTTCTCTGTTGACAGGTTTTTTAAGATAATCTTCAGTGAGAATTTACTTGCATGCGATATTCATATTATTTGATAATTTCCACATTCTGTCGGATCATCTTTCTTAACAATGAGAACAAGTAACATGTCTCTTCTAGTCCATTGGCCAGGGAACAAATACAGATCTCTGGCAGTCAGCTGACCGGGTAGTTGTCGTCCAAATTTCTTGCCCCAGACTGCTGAGCACATCAAAGGCTACTTCTCTTTGTCAGTTCCTGGGGTCTTGTGAATGACTTCAGTATACCTTGAACTACTTCCTTCATCATTACTGGTTCCTGATAGCATACTACTTCATGAAACTGTTCTGTCAGCCAATTCTTTTGGTATAGTGACTCTGTATTTCTTCTT